ACTAGCATACGTGATACATGAGTTTTATTATGAAGTCTTCATACATGTATATAATGTATTTTTATTATAGTCCCCTTTAGCCCTCATAATCCTTTCTATTCAACTAGCCCCCATTTCTACTTAGACCTTTTTTATTATATTTTGATGTGGGCATAAGTGTTATCACACACAGGCCATGAGTGGAGGTCGCTTCTCTCTTTGTTCCATGTGAGTCCTGGGGATAGAACTCAGGTCATCAAGTTTGGTGGTGCCTTTGTATGACCTAATGAGGCACAGAGATTTTAAGTGGTACGACTGCTAGTAAGTTGCCCATGCTTCTGTTAGTATCCCTAATTAAACCTATTGATCAAGAAGAAAAATGACTAGTTTTAAAGACAAGTTCAGCCGGGCAGTGGTGGCACATGCCTTTAGTCCCAGCACTTGGGAGGCAGACAGATTTCTTGAGTTCGAGGCCAGCCTGGTCTATGGACTGAGTTCCAGGACAACCAGGGCTACACAGAGAAACCCTGTCTTGAAAAAAAACCCCAAACCATTGTTATATATAAATATGCTAATAATATGCTAATAAAAACAGTTCTTAAAAGTATGTGCCAGTTTGGTCCTCAATTCTTGTGTCCTTCTATAGAAAACTCCTGTGCTGGAGCTTTAGTCTAAAATGAGGAATTTTAGAGATGGGAATATGATAAACATTATATATAAACAAAACCACAAGGGCAGATCTTAAGATGATTCCAATTATACTGTGTGCCCTCCCCAGCAGCCTTGAGCAGGCCACATCAGACCAAAAATAATAGGACCTAGGTGGAGCTACCCACCTTGGTTGCACATACAGCCTGCTTCAGGAACTTAGAATAGACTGCCCGCTGAGCTTGCCTTGAGACACCTCTAGCTGTGACTAAGGATGGGTTCCCCTCACCCATCTCCAGCTGAAGCAAGAAGGGGTTCAGTAGTGGAGCTTTCCCTTTAAATTGAGAGCTGAACATTAAACTTGGAGCCTTGATCAGAGAACTTTGTCTTGGCTTCATTTCCTCTTGCCCTCCGTCCCTTTCTTCATTTCCAGCCCCCCCTTTCAGGTGAACCCAGTTGATCTGTGGCCGCAGGTGGCTACAATACTGGTATCCTTACTACAAAAAGAATATATCAGAAGAGTCCCACTCCCACACACACACAACGAGGTCACAGTGTTCTAAGAAGGTGCATTCCAGGACAGAGATCCTCATCAGAGAACTGAATCTGTCTTAATCTTAGACGTCCATCTTGAAGATCTGTGAGAAGTGAAAGATTACCTAACTTCAGTCTTCGATTTTGTTTTGTTTTTCTTTTTTTTTTAAAGATTTATTTATTTATTATGAGTACACTGTAGCTGTCTTCAGACACATCAGAAGAGGACATCAGATCTCATTACAGATGGTTGTGAGCCACCATGTGGTTGCTGGGATTTGAACTCAGAACCTCTGGAAGTGCAGTCAGTGCTCTTAACCACTGAGCCATCTCTCCAGCCCTTGTATTGTTTTTCGAGACAGGTTTTCTCTGTGTAGTCCTTGCTGTCCTGGAACTCACTCTGTTAGTCTTTGATTTTAATTTCCATTCAAAGTATCAGCTTATTAGAAACAGGTGGGAAGTCAGACTTGGCCCCATGAGTTCCCATCACAGTGGTAGCCAGCCCCTCCTTCCCATCCCAGCCTATGATACCCCCAGCTGTCAAAAATGGCAGCTCTTGTCAAAATGACCCGTCACAGAAGCTGTCCACAGTGGCAACACCTTTCTTGCCTTAGCCTACAGCTTTAGTAAAGTACCATTGCAGGGATTGTTCACAGTGGCAGCAACTAACTTTCCCAAGCAGCTCCACAGAGATGGGTCCTCAGCCAAAGCCACCTGTTGCCAGGAAGGACTTCCCATCGTAACGCATGGGCCTGAGGCAGGGAAGAGGGGAAGAGGTGAGTCCCCAAGCTCAGGACTTGAAATCCCACTAATCTTCAATCTGGAAAACTCTGCCCCACCCCAACCCCCCAAAATCCTATATAAGCCCTGCCATTTGTCCAATCCCTGCTGTCCACTCCCAGGAGCAGACGGCCGCCATCCCTGGATTTCTCTCTCCTCTCCCTCGACCCTCCAATAACTCTTTTATGAGATTTGCTGTCTGGTGTGCCTCATTGAAAGAAGCCAAAAAGCAATCAAGAGAAGGGAAAAAACGAAGAAGTGGAGCAGGAAGTGGATCAGGGCTGAGATTCTCAGCTCAGCTAGGAATACCCTCCCCTGGGAGCTGCAATGCCTCTCCTGAGGAAGCTTCCTCTCAGGGTTATGTGGTTTCTAGGCTCCTGTGTCTCATGATACCCTTCCATTGGAATACCTCTCTCTTCTGGTTCCTGGATGTCCAAGTCTCAGGATACCCTTCCCTCTGAACAGAAACACACCGAATATCTCAGTTCATCCAAAAATTAGAAGAGCCCGTGGTAGCACTTAGCAGCTTATCTGCCTGTTGTCTTAATAGTCTAGAAGGCAGCCTCACAGGCACCCATGTCCAGCCCCAGCCAGAGGGCTTGATTCACTGGGTGCAGTGGAGCCCCACCACAGCCTACCATCTTCCTATGGGACTCACCCAGTGCATGCTCAGTCCCAAGGGTCCACTGCTAATGACAGTGAAACCCTGCAGAGAGTTCTCACCAGCAAGCAGGTGAGATGATCTCAAAGGCATGCCTGATATATGGTGCACAGTCATAAACTCAGATTGCTGGGATACACCATCATGAAGTTGGTGAGATGCTCCATACATGGGGTGGGACACAGGCTCTGGAGAAGCACCGGGTGGCACAATACCAGGCATTGCATCCTGGACCAGTGCCTGTCAGGCTTCTCTGCAGGGATACAGTCTCACAGGGAACTGCCACCTGCTCATCATCAGTTCTCCAATCCCCCAAAAGCTTGATGTCTGAGGCCTTTGATACCACTCTGAGACCATTTGCCATCAGTCATCTGGGCACACTGAGGACATCTCTAGCACAGATGGGAGAGCTGAGGTTTTGGGGTTTATTTTTGTTTGTTTTGGTTTGTTTTGCTGTAGCAAACTTACGTTTGACATGGACATTAAACCTTGTTCACTGTTTTCCCTTTGAGGCAGTGTTTAGGTTGGCCTAAAACACCAGCGCCTATGGCCCCAGCCTCCTGGATAGCTGGGATGTGTGCCGCCATAGTCAGCTTAACGGTATGGTCTTAAATTCCATAGCCTCCCCAGACTTCAGGTAAGGACATTTAAGAACAGGTGCTCAGGACTAAGGAAATGGCTTATTAAGAATACACAGTGCTTTTCTAGAGGACCCAAGTTTGATTCCCAGAACTCAAGTTAGGTGGCTCATAAATCCTGTGAATCCAGCTTCAGGGGATCTGACCACCTCGGGTACCCGCATTATTTTGCAGATAACCCCACACGAGACACACACATCATCAAAAATAAAATCTCCTTAAAAATAATAAAAATTGTATTTTTAAATGATTAAGTGTCCATCTCCATGAGTTATGAGTATGACCTAAGAGGTGAGAGGCTGGAGTGGGTGAGCATCCAAGGGTGTGCCAGCAGCTAGACATGCAGCTTAGTGGTTAAGGGCACTTAATGTTTTTCCAGAGGACTCAAGTATAATTCCCACCACCCACACAGGACAGATCACAACTGCCTGTAAATCAGGAGATTCCAACAATCTCTTCTGGCTTCCAAGGACACAGCACTCATGTCCACATACTAGATAGATAGATAGATAGATAGATAGATAGATAGATAGATATCAAAGTAAAAGACTATTTTTAAAAGTGGACTGGAGAGATGGCTCAGGGGTTAAGAGTACTGGATTCTTTTCCAGAGAACCAGGGTTTGATTTTCAATAGTCACGTGACAGCTCACAATGTAACTCCAGTCAATCCTAAGGGGAATCCAATGTCATCTGACATCTGTAGGCACTACATACATATGGTACACAGACATACATGCAGACAAAATATGCATCCACATTACAAAAAAATCATTTAGGAAGGGTGAGCCCTCACTGCAGGTGACTTCAGTGTGGGATGACCCCTCAATGAGGGATGAGCATCACTGCTGCTCAGTTCACCTTGAGTGTCACACGATCGCTACTGATAACGGTCAAGAGTTGATTTCAGAGCAGGAAAAGTGAACCATCACCCACTGTTTTCAATGTCTCTCAAAAATCACACCATCTGCCAGAGGAGGGCCACCGAAGCCAAGTTCTCCAAGTTCTCCAAGGCAGAAGGGCAGGTTTTACTTCCTTTCTGTCCCGCTCCCAAGTGCATTCACCAGGCCAACCCTGCAAGGCCACCTTCACCGGGGTGAGTACTGGAAGTAGCTCAGTGGTACTACACTGAGTACCTGAGTACTTAGCACAAGTACTAAGCACAAGTACTTAGCACAAGTAGCTGAATGGTTAGCACAAGTGAAGCCCCCTGCATTCCATTTCAGCACCACAAAACAGAAACAAAAACAAAAAACAAACAAACATACAAAACACTTCGGCCTAATGAAGACAACAGAAAATATCACATCGTTTTATTTTCAACTGCTGCCAGTTCCATAAAGCTGTTGCTAACAAACTGAAGGGTTGTTTCTTTACATCCCCAGACACACACAAATTCTTCAAACATCAACAGTCAACAAATGCCCAACTTAAGGGGTAAACCAACAGCTGGCTTTTCTCAGTCTCTGGGCATACCTTCCTGTCTACCTTGGAGTCTCTAGTCACTGGGAGGGCACCAGGTAGGCTGACCAGCAATACCTTCCTGAAGCTTTGCCCCTATCCCTGACTCCTTCAAGGGAAAGAAGAAAGAAAATGGAGGGACTCAAAATCAACCAGTTCCCAAAACAGCACAGCACACCATTAGCAACATAGCCTGGGAATATAGTATCCCCCAGCTATTCATCCTGCCAGTTCTCCCCACCCCCCCTCCAGCGGTCTCCTCCAGCTCTTCTCTCCCCAGAAGCTGCACACCCCCAGACACTGTCTTTTCAGACTCACTGCTGCTCCAGGCAGTTTCCCCCAGCCCACTGTCCAGATTTTGACAGCATGGTGGGATTATATAGAGTTAACTAGAAAAGAAAAACATCTATCACTATGAATGCTGGGGCTGAGGCATAATCCAATGGGATGCGTGTCAACCATACTGACCCTCCTGACCTTACCCTGATCTGTAATACTATCCCTGCCTACACCCTTCTCTCAGGACACACAGTATCTGGATCTCCAAGGCTACAAGTCCCATGGCAAAGGCCACATGTTTTAGGAGGACAGTAGAGTCTGTGGCCCCTTGGATGGCAGCTGGGGCTGGCATTGAGGGCACCACCAGGTGAGCCTCTGGAACCCATCTGGAGGCCCAAATGTCTCCTTCATGACCTGGTGACCCGAAGGACATCGTTCCTTCTGGTAGATCTGTGTGTGCCGTTCCTTGCCTTGGAATTTGTCCTGAAGCCAGTCCTTACTGAACTCCACCACATGATCCACAAGGGCCTCCAGAGAGGAAGAATTCAGGAATGAACCAAGAGAGAGGGGATGGATCCTTGCTCTGTACAAGGCTTCATTCTTTATAATGTTCCCTGAAAACAAAGAGAGACTTGAGGGTAGGAAATACTGTCTACATAGCCTCAAACTTGCTATGTAGCCTAGGCTAAACTCCTGATCCCCCTGCTTTGCCTTCTAAGTGTTGAGTTAGGGATATGTGCCACCACACTAGCTCACAATGTGTCTTAAGTGATGACGAGTGGGGTCCATCTTGCTGGTTGCTGAGCAATGACCTTGCTAAGGAGAGCAAATGGCACATGAAGGCAAGAGACTGAACAGTTGACTTTCTCCCCAAGAGTTTCATAATCTCACTTGCAGTTACAGCCGAGTCCTACCTGGACTCATCTCAGCTGCACTGCTTACCAGCAAGGTGCCTTTTACTTTAGTTTCCTCATCTGAATAAAAGGGAAAGCTAACAAGTGATTATCCCGTGGAACAGCATAAGGACTGGACTGTGCCCCTGGAGTCATGTGAGTCACGCTGGCTCTCACCAGTACATTGTGTAGTCATGTCTCTGTACACATCCAAAAGCCACTTCTGGAAACCTTGTTCATCCTCCTGGCACAGAAACAGACTCCACTGGTTCTCCCATGAGAGCACAGCGCTTTCCCACCTTCTCAGCATGAACTATATTCATGGCAGGCAAGTCATACTTTGTATATGGACGCAGCTATGCCAATAGCAACTGCTTTAACAGCCAGTTGTGGTGGCCTTTACTGCTCTCCTATGGGCCGAAAACGGCCCTCCCAGTACTAAAAAGTACAGCATTCCTGGTCTCAGCTGGAAATGCTCACAGTTTCATTACTAAGTTCCCCAGAGCAGAGACCTGCTTCTTTCTCTTGGCTTCTAAGAGCCTGGAGCTGACCTGATACCTGACTCTGCTTTGATATCAGAAGTCTACTGCCCAAGAGTTTGCCAGTGGACTTCAGTGACTAAGGAACTGCTACCTACAGGCCCTTTAGGATGGATCAAGACCCCTGACAGGTTTTCTACTCTTATTCCTGAATTCCCTCTAGAATTTGGCTTGTAGAAAGACTATGATCCTCAGTATCACTGCACACTCCTATCTACCTGTGGGCACACTCCTCCCTCTCTTCTAACGGCCTTCAGGACAACCATTCCCAGCATGACTTAATCCAGATCCTTCTATGTGCTCTGTAGGTCACCAGGTTTTAGAGGATGCCAGGTGCACAGTGCGATCCCTGTCAGGAGGTCACACTGATATTGCATCAGAAGGCTCATGACAGTCCTATCATGTCAGAACATGGTCCAAGAATGGAATCACTCGAGGAGAATTCTGAGTGCTTGTGAGAAAACTCCAAGAAAACAAGGTAAGAATCTTGTGACCTCAGTTTCTTCAAAACATGGAATTATTCTTGGAATGTGTTTCCATGCTCTTCCCAGATATATCAGATTGGGGTGAGTTTACTTCATTGTTCATACAACTGGCTGTTATTTGTTTATAGATCTGTGATGGATATTTCTGGTTGTCAACTTGCCTACATCTGGAATTACTATAATCTGGAAATGGAGGGCACACCTGTGATCCAGATCTTGAGGTTGGAAGACACAGGTTTCTGACCTGGATCTTGACATGGAGATCTTAAGGCATAGAGGCCATGAAAAACTTAGGCCCAGGCAAGGTAACAAGGTAGTGCATGCCTTTAGTCCCAGGAGACCGAGGAACACAGATCTCTGGGTTCAAGGTCTTCCTGGAACAAAGCAAGTTCCAGATCTAGGCATGGTGGTACACATCTTTAACCTTCTGCTGGAGGCCTACACAAGGACACCGGAAGAAGGAAGAACACTCTTCTTCGCCTGCTTCCACTTATTTGTCAGCACATCTGTTGGAACCTACTGTTTCAGGATTCCAGCTTATACAGAAGATCAGATGAAACAACTAGCCACGTGGGACTTAGCAACTACTGAATTCTTGGACTGCTCATTCAAAGCTGCCCATTGTTGGGTTAGCTGGACTACATACTGTAAGTCATTACAATAAATTCCCCTTAATATATAGAGATATTCCATAAGCTCTGTGACTCTAGAGAACCTTAATACAATATCTTCATGGAAAAACATGTTTTTGCCACATGTGGCTTGTCCTTGTGATTGTTTACAGACTGAACTCATGAGAGCTTTACTCAGGTGACCATTCTCTTAGCCCTCAGAGTATACATTGTCTGATGCTTTGAATAAAGTTATCTTCCTCATTTATCAGGTCCATTTTTCCCAGGTTCCGCTGCCTCTAGGGCAGTAAACACTATCATGTGAATGTTATGCCAGAGAAAGAAGTGAGGACCTTCCTAAACTAACCTGAGTCTAAACTCAAGGGATAAACCAACCTTAAAACCAACAGTGCTGGCACAACTGGGATAGTGGTCCTTAAGTCCTGACTGTCCTACAGATGAGTGACCCTTCCATTAATCAACTCTGTGGGGTGCCTTCCCATCACACAGGTCTTACCTAATCCTGAGAAGTATCTCTGGTCCAAGAGTGTGTAGCACACAGGCTGAGCCTGGCTTAGGGCTACCAAAGCTTGTCCTCGATGGAACTTTTCAGACAAGATGTCACAGGAGGGCTCAATCACTGGGGGAGGGCTCCATGACATCTGGCAATTATAAAATGCCAGGAAACCACCACCACTAAAATGGAGTACCAGCCTGAGGAGACAAGAGATCATACATATGGTGTTCTCACACATAACGAGATCACACATTACAACCACCACTGTGTGGTCAACGCATACATTCATAAACAGTCCCCTGTAGAGTCACTTCATAAGTATAATCAGCTGACACATGCAACTATCAATGTACATCACCATATAGTTACTGCTATATAACCATGTCACAGGTATGTACAATGACCACTATGTAAGTCCCATTTATACATAGTTACTATTCCCATATGCCATCAGGTCATCTTCACATTAAGTTTCTATACTAGTCTGGATCAAATTGAAAAGTTAAGGTCCCATGGTCAGAATCATAAACACCTCAGGGTCAAAAGTATGAAGTAAAATATGAATATACATTGTTTTCTAATACATTGCAGCAATCCATGTTGATGATGGAAAACTGAAAGTCTGAATCCAGGAGGTTAGTGGAACCAGTACTGGGAGTTGGTGGGAGCTCATTAGGGAGAAGATGAAGAAATGGTGGCAAAGATGGCATCACTTCCAGTTTCAGGCCAGATTAACCAAGCCCTACACATATGTGCCCCTAAGCCTCTTGGATGTTAAGCGAAGAAAGGCCATCTCACACACTTCAGTAAAGAAATAATGGGATTCTTTGTAGGGATAGCTAATCCAAGCAGCGCTGCCTCTACACCGGAAGCTGCAGAGCCTGAGTCCATTCTGACCTAGTTAGTGCTCCTGGGAAGAGCAGAGACAACTTCCGGAAGCTAGGAGGTGGGCACATGTCCATAATCCCAGCATGAAGCGAGGCTGAGACAGGAAGATTATGAATTTGAAACTAGCTTAGGCTAGTCAGGAATAATGCAGCTATGTCTCTCTCTCTCTCTCTCTCTCTCTCTCTCTTTTTTCCTTCTTGTTTTTAATTGTCAGAGCTGGCAAGATGACTCAGAGGACACAGATTCTTGCCATCAACTTTGACAACTTGACTTTGATCTCCAGAACAACTGCTGAAAGTTGTCCCCTAATCTCAACACATGTGCTGCGGCATATTCATGGATACACACGCACACAGACACACAGACACACAGACACACACGCACTATAAATAAGTAGATAAATACAATAAAAATTTCTCTTTCAAGGACTGGAAGTGAGCCTCAGAGGTCTTGCACAGAAGGACCCATCACACTTATAAACACTGTGTGACTAGTAGAAGGGGAATCCTTTGCTACAAGGGAAAGTCAGTAGCGACCACTGACTACACAAAACTTAAAAACTCCAAGTGCCAAAATGCTTTACAAACACACTCAAGGGATGTACGCTGGGCTGGAGACAATCCTGACAACACATATTATCAAACTTAATATCCCAAAGCTTAAAAACTTGCAGCATGAGGCTGTTCAGACATCCTAAGCTTGCCATGAAACCTTAACCTAAGTTTACTCTCCACAATCCACAGTAAGAGGAGAGCATCAACTCCCGAAAGTGGTCCTCTGACCTCCACATGCACAACCAAGGTGCACACACTCATGCAATGATAACAAAATAGACCATGTTCATTGCTGGCATGTATACAAACAGCCCGATGCCAGCCCCTGGGCAAAACCAGCCATTAGAGTGTGCATTCCTGGTGACTCCCTGGGATCCCAAAGTGAACCTGACCAGAGTCCATCCTGGTTAATATTTAAGTAAAGCTTGATTCAAATTTGAAAAAAAAAAATCATGCTCTTCCAGGGGCAATTGGGAGCTGCCCTTTAAGGAAGCAACATGACACACGCACACACAGAGCTTTATGCACTAATTTTTTCTCAATATCTACAAATTAAATAACTGGGAAAACTATAACCCTAAATTCAGAGCAAAAAGAGTCTAGACATATGCTTTTCTCCTGAGACAGCTCATCCTCAAGTACCACATTGGCTGGAAACCCCATCCTCTTCACTCCAGGACCTAGGCAGATACAATCATGTGGGTACAGGTCCAGTTCTTATGGGTGAATGTGCACCCTTTTTGCCGAGCAAGACCTGCACATCCCTAAGTGTGGCCCTCAGCCATGCCTTTCCACAGAGGGGGCTGCATAAACATGGTAGACCCCACTAGGACCCCTGCATATGTCACACCATTACCTGGGCACTGGGTCTCTCCAGTCACCTCTTTTGTTAGCTTTCTTTGCTCTGGAGAAGTCATTCACCCAGATACTGCCAAACAAACCAAACCTGACCTCCAGCCACCTCTGGGCACCTACTAAAGGGTTCTTTCCCCCAGGATCATCTGGGCCATCAGATCTACTGGGAACAGGCTCCCCAGATCCAGAGGGGCCTGCATTGGGTTCCTGAGCATTGGGACCCAAGGTGAGCTCTGCGTCCACAGCCTCTTTCTGCCACAATCCTCGGACAGGCTGTGGGCTGCTGCCGAGTGGCTCCATCTCCTCATCTGGATCAAACTGAAGGAATAATTTTTTTCCATGCACCTGGGAAAAACAAAAACAAACAAACAAACAAACAAACATGACATACATTGACCCTTAGAGACCCTCACAAGTGTCAAAGCTTCACAAACAGCTAGCTGCCAACAGTCTGTTCCTTCCTCTCTCTCATAGCTTCCCCAGCACACAGGATTTCTCTGTGTCCTTTTCCCTTTTGTCCCAGAGGTGTGACCAGCAGGTGCCTGGAAGCAGCTTCGGGAGATAGATTAGTGATCATAAGTCTATGTCAGACAGCAAGGCCACCCAGAACAACCTAGGAGAGGTGTTCCCAAAGATTTCAGGAACCCACTCAAGGATTATACAAAGGGTCATTCTTTTTCTTTTTCTTTTTCTTTTTCTTTTTTTGTTTTTTTTTGTTTCTCGAGACAGGGTTTCTCTGTATAACCTTGGCTGTCTTGGAACTCACTCTGTAGACCAGGCTGGCCTCGAACTCAGAAATCCACCTGCCTCTGCCTCCCAAGTGCTGGGATTAAAGGCGTGCGCCACCACTGCCCAGCCACAAAGGGTCATTCTTTCAATTACTTCATGACAGGTTTTTCTAGGCCCACAAATTCATCTGTTCCCAAATCTATTCAGTGATATATAAGTGCCAGTTCTGTGACAACTATCAAAGTAAGTGGTGGAACATCAAAACCACGGGACTCAAACCATTCAGGACAGTCTCTACAAAGAGGCCACCAGCCTGAAGTTTGGAAAACTTGGACTCCTAAACTTAGACAGTTTAGGGTCTCAGTTTCCAAAGATGAAGTATAGGTGAAGGATTATAAGCCATCTTCCACTCAAAGAATAGTTCTGTAGGTTATTAGTATGTGTACCCACGTGCGTGTGTACAGTGGAAGGAGAGAACTAGCAATTATCAGGTACATAACATATTTAGTGTCAGGTATAAAGTCTATTCCTACAAGAGTTTGATCAAATAAGTGTGTCTTAGTCCTTGCTCTGTTGTTGTGAAGAGACATCGGGACCAAGACAAGTCTTAGAAAAAAGGTATTTAATTGGGAGCTTGCTTACAGTTTCAGAGGATTAGTCCATTATCATCATGGCAGGAAGCAAACAGGCATGGTGCTAGAACAGCATCTGATAGCTGTTGCAGGATATGTGATCACACTGTGACTCTGAGGTGATATTTATGAAAAAAACAAAAAAACAAAAAAACCTGCTTCTAGTTGTGGTGTGGCTCAACCCTTAGTACACACCTTTAATCCCTCTGGCTGGAATACAGACATGCCCTTAATACATCTTTAATCCCAGACAATGAAGGTAAAGTTAGTTTGTAGAAGGAAGGAAGCACTGTATTTGAAAGTGATATCTAGTTGAGTGGCAGACAAAGTGATGAATCAGAGAAAGATTTGACAGAATAGGATATGCTCAACTCTCAGGAGAGGTGAGAGGAAAGGGAACCTACTTAAGAAAGCACAGAGAGAGAAAAAAAGAGAAAAGAAAAGGAGGCTCTGTTACGGGGACAGCTGTACAGAGACAGGATGCAGAGAGATAACAAGCTAGACAGAGATGAAGACAGACACAAAGAGCCAGAGAATGAGAAGGAGCCAGAAGATGAGAATGTATTACCAAAGTTAGTATGAGGCCAAGCAGAAGCCAAGAGAAGCTAGGCTGAATCAGTCAGCTTGGAGAGGAGTTTAAGCCAGAACAGCTGAGTTGAATCAGCCAGCCAGAGATCAGAAAGAACTAGGAAGAGGTGAGCGTATTCAGTAGCAAGTCTCAGAGGCTGAAAACATTCTAGGCCTACATAACATTGTATGAAGGTTAGAGGCTGCCAGGGCTAGGCCCAAGTTATCAGATTGAGGCAATAAGCATCAGAGACGACAATTACTTCAGGCAAATAAACTCCTTTTACTGACAGCTTTACATCCTGAATCATAGGCAGCAGGCAGAGGAGGAGACTGGGCCTGGCCTGGGCTTTTAAAACCCCATAGGCCACTCTCATTGGATCAATTAGATCACATCTTCTCCAATAAGGTCACACCTCCTAATCATTCCCAACTCTCCGATGACCAAGCATTCAAATATAGGAGCCTTTGGGGATCATTCTCAATTGAACCACCACAAAAAGTGTTTTACTACACCATCTACAGTTGAAGATATTACAGCTAAGAAAATGAGAACTTGCTTCAGAATACACAGCTAAGCAGCAGCAGCAGCAACTACGTGTCACTGCACAAAATCCATCCCACACCTCCTCCATGCAGATTCTCATAGCTAAGCAGGAATACAGGACTGACGAGGATACAGCCTTTCCCTGCTCCTGTCTCCCCACTCAACGTGAAGGACAGCCTTGGCACTAAGGATGCAAAAGGAAGAAGTAGAGGGTATCCCAGAAGTACAGAGGACCAGCCAGTGTAAAACAGGCAGGACAGGATGACCTAGGAGAATCTGAAGAGAGACTAAAGTTACCATAGTAACCTGAAGAGACAGGAGTGGTAACAGAGCTGAAGAAAAAAAGGAAAGATGTGCCCAAGCAGGGGAAGCATGGGCACACCCAGGGTAAGGACTAACTGATCTGCAGGCAACTAGTGTGAGCAAAGAAGAACTTGGGGTGGGTGCAAAGGCCAGAGAGACGGGCAGGGGTGAGTGTAAGATCTGTGACCAGTTCCACGGGAAAAGAAGCAACAAGACCGGTTCCACGGGAGTGGGATTTATTAAAGAAAGATAGACGGGGGGGGGGGGGAAGAGGGAGGAAAGAGAGAGAAGGGGAAGCTCTGCCTATTTATACAGATGAGGATGATGTCGCACTGAGTTTGGACCTATACCAACAGTGAGTCCACAGAGTCCTGAGTGCCTTGAAGGAATTCTGACTCCCATTAGGGACGAGGTCTGAATTTAGACCCTTGATAGTGCTCATTCCTTACTTCACAGCTGGCCTGTGGGAGCCCGTGGCATGGCACCAGAGGTGCATATATGTCAACGGGAGAAGTTCTGATCCTGTGTGGGGTCGTCAGGTCCGTCCCTTTCATACATTCTTCACAGCCCCCAGTCCATTGTGACAAGATACATCACACTGAGAGGAGAGCCACATGCAGTCCTAGCATGGCTGTCCAATGCTTAAAGAAAGGATATCACTAGACATCTTCAAGGCTATGTCTCTAGGGGAGGTGGTGTGAACCAGCACAGCTGTGTGAGACCTGGGGAAGCAAAACTCACCTGAGCATCCTGGAGCCACAGAGACTGAAAGGTGACAGGGTGTAGCTTCTTACTGCTGCCCCCTGTCTTGATCACCTTCTGGCCCACAAAGGGGGAGACAAGATGGTGAAACTTCCTCACAGACGGTCCTTCTGGCATCTCTGCAGGCAGAAAGCTACAAAGGAGACCTCTGATTTAGCCTGGTCCTCTCTTAGCCCAGTGTGTCTGATCACTAGTGTGGCACCCCAAGGAGCGAGTCTGGGCCACCCACTTTGAGAATACAGATGCCAAAACCAGAGCTGAACTGGGGGTCGGGGGTGGACAGAAATAACATCTCAGAGAAGACTGAGCTGGAGCAGGGGAAGAGCCAGCTTCTCAGCAATGGTTTCTCTTCCTGGCCCCTCACCCCTGTCCATACAGCAAATACTAATCACTATAGTGTGCTAGGTGTCATGTAACAGGTACTGTCTACTTCGTTGACGCTGCCACCTCAGTGGTTGGTCACTCCTTCCTTGTTTGGTTGGTTCTTAAGGCAGAGTCTTACTATGTAGCTCTTAGTGAGCTGGAACTATGTAGTCCTAGGTATCCTCAAACTTTCATCCCAACCTTCTTCTGACTGATCCATACTGGATCCGGCTCACTCAGGACCACCTCAGATAAAGGAGATCTGCACTAGTCATGAAATGGTTCTCTATCTGTGACCACAGCGCTGTCAGAACTTGGAACCATGACAAGAAGACACCAGCCAGGCAGGGCAGCTGCCAACCAGCTTAACTCCTGATAATATGCCTGGTGGCTGAAAAGCCACAGTAAAGGCAAGGCAGGTCTACACGTCACCCCTCCCCTCCCTGTCCTCAATCATCCGAAGTCACCAAGAGCCACCAGGATGAGATAGCCTGGGTAGCCTACACCCAGACTTTACTGAGCAAGAGTCATTCCCCCATCCCCACTCAAAGCTCTACCTAACCTCACCTGCCACTCACTAGCACCAGGCTCATAAATTGAGGTGAAAATTAACAAAGGCATACAGCGGGTAGTTACTGTTGCAGTGTTTCTAAAAGCCAGGATGGTTGTTGTTAAGCCTCACTCTGTAGCCCAGGCTGGTTTTGAACTCTCTGAACAATCCTCCTGCCTGAGTCTCTCAAGTGTGAGCCACATACAACTCCAAGACATTTAAAATTTATACTTTAATCAAAGAATCAGGATGCTTCAGACATCCTGCTAATGCTCATAGTTTCATAAATAACACATTCAATAATGCAATTTTTCTTTCTGTCTTGAGACAGGATTTGGCCTATAGGCCACTGTGGATGAATGGTCTCCACCTCCAGAGTACTGTCATTCCAGCACATCACAACTCCTGGCTTATCCTCAAACCCAGGGCATCCTGCAAGCTAGGCAGTCTCTTTACCAACTGTGCTAAGGCCTCAACAATGCTTAACTAAATTCATCCCCGCGTGGACTTCCACTCACACTCTTGGAAATGTGGCAAAAGTTCACCTACTCAAGCCTTCAGGGAAAACTGCTGGGTTGGAAGGCAGCTTGCCAGGCACCAGTACCCTAACTACCTCTAACCTCAGAGTCTTCCTGGCTACCCGAAGAGAAAGTTCTGGAAAAGGCTGCCAGTACAATGCAGCATAATCTTAAATCTCTCCCGGCAAGCCTTTAATCCTAGCACTCTGGAGGCAGTGGCAGGGGTCACTCAGAGAGTTCAAGGCTAGCCTGTGATAGCCTTGAAAATGAATTAGATCTTAAGCCTGGTTATACCTGGTCTACAGAGAGAACCCGGACTACATAAAGGCCTTGTCTCAAATCAATCAATCAATCAATCAATCAATCAATCAATCAAACAAACAAACAATCAAACAAACAAATTCTCCGCTCCTGGGAATGGTTTGATGGACAGGAAAGTAATGGGATGAGCTGCTGAGAACCTTGAGCTCCGTTGCTAGGGCAAGGTGGCCAGGCTGCGCAGGACGTGGTCCTTTTCTCCAGGAGCCAGGGAGAGTCTTAGTCCACTGCTTTCCTAACTCTTTGTTGCGACTGAAGGCGGAGAGAACACATGAGGGTCACGAGGGCCTGGGAGTCGGGAGGCAAGGTGATCAACAAAAACAAACTTACGACCAGGCTGCGCGTGTCCGGAAGAGACACTGCTTAATTTTGCTGTGAAAACAAGTGTTGACTACGTGCACGTGTGCGGTCTACAGAGGGTAGGGAGGAGGCCCAGGCGGGCCCTAGGAAGCTATACTCTCCGGGACCGGTCCCAAGCTGCGGCAGCAGGATCTCTATCCACTTGTGTCTTCCAGACTAGGGCGGGGAGGACGCATTCAGCCGGCCGGAGCGCGCGGGCACTGTAGCCCGGTGGCTGGGATCCCACGGGCTTCTCCCCGAGTGGACCAGAAGTTACTTCCGGGACTCAAGGGCTACCCCCCACCCCCACCCCCCGGCTGAGCTGGTCTTGGAGGTGGGTGGGGAGCTGCTGCGGGCTCCTGTCTTGGAAGCTTTGGAGTTGAGGCGTCTTCTGAGATGGAACTACATGCTTTTCCCTGGGGGTACAGGAGGTGGGGTGCACCCAGAGGGGGAGCTGCAGGTTTCTCTTCTGGTGGCGCTGGAGGTGGGGTTCACTTTGGGATGGGTGATGGAGGCGTCTCCTCGCGGGCTCCTCTGACAGGTGGGAAGGCTGTTGCGGTCTCCTTCCCGGGGTGACCACTGGAGGCGCAGCACGCACCCACGCTCTCTGTCTGTCTCTCTGTCTCTCTCTCTTTGTTTCTGTCTCTCTCCCCCCCCCCTCTCCACTCCCCACCCCCGCCCACCTACCTTCCAGAATCACTATACCTCTGAGCTACCCCCTCTCACCCCCAACACGCACAGGAACACGCACACGCGCGCGCACACACACACACACACACACACACACACAGACACACACAGACACCTGAAGTCTCCCCATAACTTCTCCCAGGCTTGTCAGTAAGAATCTGGGAAAGAGTGAACTGGTACCGAGAAAAGGCAAATACTCAGAATCCTATGATTCTCTTGGCTCAGGCCAAGACAGACATTTCAATTTCTCCACACCCTTCGAAAAGGTTTTTTGTCAGGGTTTTGTATTTTTGAGACAAAGCTTGGCTAGCCCTGAACTCCTGGGTGAACCTCCAAACTTAGTTTCTTTAGTACTGGGATTTTAAACACAGCTAGCACACCTGGCCTGTAGCACTTTTAAAGAGAGAGATTTATTTACTTTTGCTTTATATGATTTTAATAGTCTTTGAATTTTTACTATACACTTTTAAAAAGTTGTGTGTTGAAGTTTTTACTTGGAAGGTTAAAGATGGCAGCAGGTTATTCAAAGACAGGACTCCAAGAAGGGTTGGGACAAGCACTTTATAGGATGTCAAGGGACCTTTGGTGAACTCCGAGGAGGCCTTCAGAAGTAGCTAAGGTACCAGTCTCTGGACTTGGCCAGCACAGGGAGACAGTCCTGCTTCAAGGAGCAGTTCCACTAGCCTTCTACCCTATTGCTGGCTGTAGAACAGGTAGTAAGGAGGAAGGCCTCTGGTGTCTGAGAGGTACAGAGTTCCCCTCAAGGCAGAGGGTGAGCTTGAAGGTACAACATTTGCAGAAGGGGGTCCCTACTTTTTGTATATATAAGCACCAGGGCATGCTTTCCCACTTTCTATATCTGGTGTCTTAGGAGACTCACATCTTCTACAGGATACAGTGTGCTCCTGTGCAGCTTCCAGACACACACACACACACACCCCTATTGTATATTGTAGACTGTGCTGGGGAGAAGCCATATCCTAGAGATAAGCCTGGCCTTATCTGGTGGAATCAGAGCTGTGCACCTAAGAGGTGTCTTCTGAGCCCAAGGGACCGTGCAGCTGAGAAAATGAACGTTTCACAGTTTGCTGCTGTCACTTATAGTCACAAGTACAGTTTACTGAGCACACACCATGTGCAAGTCACCGTGGAAAGATTTTACCCAGACTGCCTCATTAGCTGTGAGAAAACAATACCTAAATCCAGCCTTTAAATGGAACATCTATGTCATGGTGTTACAGACGTAAAGCCACACTCTGTAAACCCTGATATGTGTATGAGTCACTCAGGAACGCCTAAGTGTAGATTGTGAGAAATCTGTTGCAGGAGCAGAGACGTGCCTTTCTGGCACCGACGCTGCTTGTATAAATAAAGACCACTCTCTGGCCTAGAGAGTGCATCTAGGAAGTCACATTTGTTGAGTGAATGCTTGCGATATTAGTTAGGAAACACTCATAAAATAAGGATTGTTCAATTCAGGCTGTGCAGGGGCTCCCCAGATAGTAAGATTCTTATTCTATGAGAGTGGAATTCTGGAATCCAATAGACAGGTTTTATGTCTTGGTTCCATAGTAGTTCTGTGAATTTCGACGTGTGACTTGAAATCTGTATCTTTTTTGCACATGTTTGCAAGGATGTACAAATGTTTTCCCGAGGCTGGCTTTAGCTGTCAGTGTCTGGCAGCAGTAGTGCTCAGTAAACACTAATGCTTTTTAGTAGCAGAATTTGGTTGTATGCTGATATCAGATTAATGGCTTGAAAACCCGCTCTATTGGAGATGGAAGGGGAGAAATGAAAGCCTGTGCCCCCACGTGGTGAATGCATGAACTGCATACACAGTGCTTCCTGGAGCTCTAGTCCTGTGGAGGGGCTCTGGGGCCTTAAGGAAGTTCACTGGATGGCAGCACTGGAGGATCTGCTCCTTCAGGTGATCTCTGAGGTCACTATGATCTGAGTTTCCTTTTTCATAGCTAGGTTGTGTCCATTCAACTCTCCCAGGCTGTGGGTGACCTTTGAGACAGTTTCCACATTCTTTGCAACTGAACCCCTGTAAAACCACCAAACTCTCATAGAGTGTAGACTTGTACCTCCAGGAAGGGATGGAGTGGTTGGCAGAAATTATCCAGGACTCATTAAGCTACATAAGGCTTTCTTTAGGCTCCACTGGGCCCACCGAGCACTAGGACACCCTAGACAGACTTCCAAACCTAGATTATACCAGAATCTCAAAATAGGGTTTCTTATTATTTTATTTGAAGCAGGGTCTAGTGTAGCCCAGGCTGGCCTTGAACTTGTGATCCTCCCACCTCGAGAGTGCTGTGCTAACAGGTATATACCACCATACCTGCTTTATACACTGCTGAGGATTGAACCCAGGGCTTTGTGCATGCTGGGCAAACACTTTACCAGTTGAGTTAAATCCCTAGCCTAAACCTTTCTCTTTTAAGTTAATTATCTCAAGTGTTTTGTTATGGTAAAGGAAAGTTGACAACTACAGTCAGCATGCCAAGCTTTGGGGTCAGGGCTTCCTCCTAATCATCCTCCAGCCCCATATTCAGTGCATATTCAGTGATGAGAAACTTGTGGCCATTAGCATCTGTCCAACCAAACACAATCACAGCTAAGCTGCCTCCTTCTCAGAAGCCAGGGCCAAGGCTTACCTGACTGCATAGGGACTTAAACTGGGTTCCAGAAAGTTTTGTCAGTGCTGGTGGCATAACCATAATGCAATGTGATTTCTTATGTAGACTTGCCCCTTGAGAAAGAGATCTATTCTAATAACATCATTTTTCACACACCCTCCCCCACCACGTTCCAACAATTTGGAAATACGCCTTTGCCGTTGTAGATAATGGTTGAGACAGGGCTTGCCTCCAGGCCCGTCTGCATCCTTTATAGTCTCTTGGATAAAGAATCTCAGGCTTTCTTAAGGATTGATTGATTGACTCGGGAAAGCAACAAGTCTGCTGATCCAGGAGGCTGAGTTACTTTAGTTGGAGGGAGGTAGCAGTTATGAGCATACGCAGAAAGAGTTCTGAAATCCATTTCCAAAGAGAAGTGATGTAAATCTTTTAAGCAAAAATGCCTTAACCCCAAACCATGAACTTCTGGCTAACAGTTTGGAATCTGTCTTCTTACTAGGACTCATCTTACCTGACTGACTGTAGCTCTCAGTTTAATGGCTTTGGCTATTTTTTCTTTTTCCTTCCTTCCTTCCTTCCTTCCTTCCTTCCTTCCTTCCTTCCTTCCTTCCTTCCTTCCTTTCTTTCTTTCTTTCTTTCTTTCTTTCTTTCTTTCTTTCTTTCTTTCTTTCTTTCTTTTTTCGAGACAGGGTTTCTCTGTATAGCCCTGGCTGTCCTGGAACTCACTCTGTAGACCAGGTTGGCCTCAAACTCAGAAATCTGCCTGCCTCTGCCCCCCAAGTGCTGGGATTAAAGGTGTGCGCCACCACTGCCCGGCTGGCTATTTTTTTTAAAGATTTATTTTATGCTCTCTTGCTCTCTTGCCTTCTTGCTCCCCCTCTGTCCCCTTGCCCCTTTCCCTTCCCTTCCCCCTCTCTCCATGTGCTTAAGGCCGGCCTCTACTTCTCTTCCCTCCTTTCCTCTCCTCTTCTCTCCTCTTTTCTCCACTCTCTTCTCCCCCCCCCCCGCCTTTACTACCCTCTTAACTCCCCTCTCCATGCCCTGAATAAAATCTGTTCTATACTAAAAAAAATAAAATAAAATAATAAAAAGATTTATGTATGTGAGTACACTGACACTGTCTTCAGACAAACCAGAAGAGGGCATTGGATCTCATTACAGATGGTTGTGAGCCACCATGTGGTTGCTGGGAATTGAACTCAGGACCCCTGGAAGAACAGTCAGTGCTCTTAACCGCTGAGCCATCTCTCCAGCCTCCAGGTTATTATTCTTTTAAGAGCTGAAAAGTTTTTCTTGGGTCAGTAAGATGGGTCACTTGAGCAGAGCACATACGACACAATCCTGAAGACCTGAGTTTGATCCCTGGAACCTATATAAAGGTGGAAAAGAGAGAACGAACTCCCAGAAGTTCTTCTCTGATCTCCACTGGGGTCCTATGGCATGTGTGCCCAGTAACACAATTAACTAAATAATTTTGAAGAAATTTTAGTAAGATTTTCTTGTTTTACAAAGAATGGTGTGTCTCCCTGTGTGT